AAGGCTTATTCTTGCTGATATTTCAAAAGGCGTCAATGTTTTCTTTAGATATTACGATGTTGTCAATGGCGGCATACCAAAATATCGATGACATCTGTGATGGTTTTAATCTCGACCGTGACCAAATAACGTTAGTGAGACTGCTTGGGACTGGGAACTTTGGTCAGGTGTCTAAGGCAATCTACGGAGCTTCGCATTCAGAAGTTGCGGTAAAAAGTCTCAAAGGTAGCTATACATTTTACTTTTTTCAGTTGATGAATTTTAATTTGATAATTATCAATAAGTCTAATTTTTTATATCAAATTTCAGCTATTAGCGGCATCACTCGCAGTATCCTCAGTGCTCTAGCCAATACGTGTTGCTTGCCTTGATGGCATTGAAGTGTCCTTAGAATAGTTTTAGAGTAGCCGTAGGATAATTTTTGCTTTTTTTTCGGGATTATACGAAAGAAGTTAGTTGACAGATCAGTGGAAACAGGATTTGCTCTCCCTTGATCCAAATTTGTCGTTTACTCAAGCAGCAACCAACCCTCTTACTCATAAGAACTTTTTACACGTGATCTAGACAATGCTTCACCGAAGGACTTACAAGACATGCTCAGTGAACTAGACGTCATGAAATCTTTGCAGCCTCATCCTCATGTTGTTCGACTGATTGGTTGCCGTATTGAGAAAGGTACCTTCATGCTAATCTCAGTTTGCTGGTTGTTTTATTTTTAATGTAAGCATTTCTTCTTGTTATTTTTCTTTCTAAAGGGAGGGTGTTACCGCGTTTAGAGAAATATTGTTTGAATTACTGAAAGATGAATAAGTTGTGTTGGAGGGTTCAAATAGCCAATAGTATTTTACAAGAAATCCCTGAATGACGTGATTCTGATGTAATATTAAGAGTATACTAGGCCTACCTAGAAAGTGATGTTTGTTTTATTACGTCGCCTACATGAATTCATAATATCACCACCGCTCTGTCACTAGATTATTATCATCATAAATTGTAGGATTTGTTTCCCAATCTTAAGTTATCGCCATGAGATTTCATCGGTTAATTAATTAGCAAACTTTAACTTCTAGGTGAGTGTCGTTTTAGTTTTGCATTGTTTTATCATTCCAGAGCCGACGTTGATTGTTTTGGAGTATTTACCATACGGCGATTTACTGGGATACCTGCGCAAGAGCAGAGGACATGAGGACACGTACAACACAGGAGAAAAAAGACCAAATTCAAGACTCACTGAAAAAGATCTGTTAACTTTTGCTTGGATGATAGCAGATGGAATGAGCTATCTGGCAGCAATGAGGGTACACCGCTTATCTGGTAGTTTAAACGATGAAGTAATCATTTCAAGTTTCCTTCCAATAGAGTGTTTTCATATGACGTCACTGCAGCCATATTGGTATCCCAAAATAATGAAACGGCGGCCATGTTGGAGTACCAAACCAATATCGTGGAAGTTTTACTCTTTTCTTATGAAAACACTCTCTTCTGTTCTAATAAATTTGCATGATCGTTGGCCACGCTAGTAAAAACTCTCTACAGAAGGAAACGTGAAATAATACAATATTTTTACCAGTAGTCTAGCTTGAAAAGCAAACTAGCAACACTAGTAGATAACGTAGTTAACATTGGAGAGATTTAGACAGAGAGGACGTCCGACATTTGATGTTGTCAGTGCATTTTTTTTAGTCAATAAGTCTGCAAGCATACTCGGAAACTCACATTATTATCAGATTATAGATCAAAATTAGGATCACATATAGTTCGCTAATTTCAATAATTACTATATTAAAATAAATGTGCATGATGTTCGGGAGAAAATGAGCAGTTGATCTTGGGATGGATTCACGAACTGCCTGTTTTATTGATCTGTTTTTCAGGTTGTTCATCGTGACTTGGCCGCCCGAAATGTATTGGTAGGTGAGAACAAAGTCTGCAAAATTTCCGACTTTGGATTGGCACGTGGCTTGGAGGAAGATATTTACACGAGACGGACTCAGGTGATTGCAAAACTAAATTCAAAACTAAGGTCACATGCAGCTAAATAATTAAATGAATGAATCAAACAATCAATCGATTGACTTTACGATAAATTTATCAATTCCTTGTAGTTCAGTTATTATTTCGTTCTTTCCCTCAGTTTCCGTTAATTGTTCGTTTGTTCGGTTGATCGTCGGTATCTCGTTATTTATTTACTTTGTTTGTTCGTTTATTTCTTGGTTTGAATCTATAATTTTTTTGTATTTTTTAAGGCGCGTCTCCCAGTTAAGTGGATGCCCCCAGAGTCACTTTTCTATGGTGAATCTACAACTATGAGTGACGTGTAAGTTCAAGCCTTGANCCGTGAGGGACTAGGCTGACAACGGTGTTTTACCCGCCAAACTCAAATGATTAAGATTTTGCTGTACGGCAACGGTATGTGCAGTCTCGATGTGTCTTTTCAAAAATGACTACTTTCAAGGAAACCAGAGGTTATTCTACTTTCATACGAAATAGGCTTCATCAGTGACAATGATTACCTTCTCCTGTATCCGTCTTACATCTCCCAGAACTCAGATTTGCCTTTTAGAACTTGATAGAACCGCCTGTAATTCCAACCACAAAACAAAATATAAACTCTGGTATAAAAAAAGCTCGATTTCAACACGGACAGGTTTTTCGCTGTACAACGATTACGTGAAAAGCCCGAAAATACAAAACTTTCGATTAAAATAAAATACATTTTGAACAGTAATAAACAATTAAAGCTCAGATCAGATCATACGAAGCTTTCTTATCTACGGCTGTTCGGCTCGATACTAATATGACTGAATTGATCATCTCGCGGCAGGTGTTAAATTCGTTAAAATTTTCTGTACAAATGACAAAGAAACAATGATCTTAAAACTGATTTTTATGATTGAGAACTTTATCTTCAAACTAGGCTCTCCAAACACTGAAAAAAGCGTTAAAATGACAAGTAAACAGCAGGCTTATGCTCACGTAGTGAAGAGTACTTGAAACCACGCACTTTCCCGTAGTAGAAAGCAAGGCTACGGCGGCAAAGCCGTACTGGTCATGACGTCACCGGAAGTGATCTTCACTATCTGCCGCCGTACCACAGCCTAGCCGTACCATATTTTAAAGTCCCTAATTATTTATTTTGTTTGTTCTTTTGTTTTGTTTTTTAAGGCGCGTCTCCCAGTTAAGTGGATGCCCCCAGAGTCACTTTTCTATGGTGAATCTACAACTATGAGTGACGTGTAAGTTCAAGCCTTGATTTAATAAAGCCGTCATGTTTTACCAGCCCTCCTTCTTCATTTATTATCTAATAATCATGTGAAAGTTTTGTCGACCACACTTCATGAAAAAGAGCGTAACCTTTGTAATGCGTCCATACCGAACGGTTGAAGATGTTTTCGTCGCTGTCTGTGTTATAAGAATGTTATAAGAAGTGTTATAGAATGGCATACATACTTCCACCAACCCGTAATACTCTTTGTTTGTGGAAAATACATCCATGAAAATAAAGCATATTGTTAGCTACGTATGTAATGTAACGAACTCTAAAAAGAGCAGCCGTAATATCGATCAATGATGATGCAGAGCACCNCATTTACCGTTTTGATAGGAAAAGTGTTTCCCGCCAAAAGCGTCTAAGTAAGCAACATAAGGAAACTGTAAGGGTAAGAGAGCACAGTTGCCATCGAATGCTGACTGACGACCACCATTTTGCATTAGATCCATGTATACTCATTGATTTGTTTACTCATGGACTCAAACGAAACCATTTCATTTTGTTTTCCTTAAGTCTCAGACATTGATATTCTTGGGAAACAGAGTTAATTGCTCCGCTTGTAATTGCTTTCCTTGGGATGAGTCATTAAAGTGTCAAATGTTATCAGATCAAGTATGTTTTAATGTTTTAAGGTGAATCACCATATCCTGGTGTACCTTCTCGACAAGTGGCTGGCTTGTTGCAGACAGGATACCGAATGCCTAGACCAAGACACATCTCTGCTGAACTGTGAGTGGCTTCCATTGCATCTCACTGACTGAACTATAATTACGGGAAAACCAGGAAAAATGAAATGAAAACTGCAAACCAGCGTGTTCGATTGTTACCATGCACATTCTACTCCATCTTCATCCTCAGTGTTTTATGTCCAAATGCGGTTGGCTCTCAAACCATTAGTGTGAGATTTCCAAATCCATCTAAAATTGTTTCAGTAGGCTTTCCGAAATCAACCCAGAAATATGTCGCAAATCCTTCTTGAGAGAATGAGAGAGAGAGGCAATGCAGTTGTAATAATACACTTTATTTTGTCTTCCAGCTTCAGAGCGGTCCGGGTTCCAAAATCCTTGAATCTGATTGGCTAATAGCGCGCGCTCCAGCGATCCGGATTATCCTGTGAGGACCCCGGTTACGGACCGCTCTGAAATTTCCCAAGTTTGGCAACGTTTCGAGCTTTTTGTTATACCATAAAACAGCGTATAATGTAAACATTCTACAAAGAGTCAAAGAAAGCAGCAAATAAAGCCATTTTCGATTTTTCAAGCTGTGCGTTTCTTTTTCGTTAGCATCAATTTTTGTCACATAAGCGACACTTTCGGCCAAAAACTAACCTTGTTAAACGTACTATTTCCCTACACTGTGTCACTTTTTTTTAAAATCAGCCCTACAATCTCTGCAAACACTACCGGCGTTTTGTGCCCGAAATGTCAAACGCAGGCGTACGTCAGATTTGAACTCAACGGTTGTAATTAAAATTGAATTCAAAAGTTGCTTTCAAAGCAATACCGTAGAGAAAAAATAAACACTTTATTTGCCGGCCTTGTTCGATCCGTATTGGTAATAACCATGCCCTCGGGCGCATATTTTCGCAATACGGACCGAACAAGGCCGGCAGATAACGTATATTCATAACTGCTTTACAGGTACTCCATCATGACCGAGTGCTGGGAAGAAAAACCTCAAAAGAGACCAACGTTCCGATGGCTTTGCTCTGCGGTCAGAAGACTTCTGGATGACCACAGGGTTTGTAAAGTGTTTTAATATGTGTCAGTGTAGCACACACAGTAGAAATGGACACTTCGACACTGTCTAAGTTGTTGTCCTATTTAGCAATTTGTGTGGCTTTTACCCACAGTGTCTATAAACCTTTCATTTTGGGGAGTAAGAGGGGAGGGGATAAATATGAAGCATATCTACCAAGACAAAGTCGAGCTAGATATTCGCGGCCAATTTTCACTGGGCCTGAGGTGACATTATGCTACCAAATCACTAACAACGTACTTTAGTCTTAACGCGGCCTGTCAAAAACAACGATTGCTTGCCCATTTGCACATCAATGTTAGGTGTTAAACAAATAAGAAGCTTCGGCCTGAATCAGGAACAAAAATTCGACCACTCTATCCGAAACAGTTTGAAATAACTGACGAATTTCGGCCCAGNTTGAGCAATTTGTGTGGCTTTTATCCACAGTGTCTATAAACCTTTCCTTTTGGGGAGTAAGAGAGGAGGGTGTAAATATGAAGCATATCTACCAAGACAAAGTCGAGCTAGATATTCGCGGCCAATTTTCACTGGGCCTGACTGGGGTGACATGTTGCTACCAAATAACTAACAACGTACTTTAGTCTTAACGCGGCCTGTCAAAAACAACGATTGCGTGCCCATTTGCACATCAATGTTAGGTGGTAAACAAATAAGAAGCTTCGGCCTGAATCAGGAACTAAAATTCGACCACTCTATCCGAAACAGTGAAATAACTGACGGATTTCGGTCCAAAATGAGGCATTGGCAGTCAGAGAAGAACGACACAATTGTATCATCACTGGTGTTGACCCCTTTAACCTTTATACTGATCAGCAGAGACACATAAAGGTCGAAGGTCTAATCTCTTTATCTATCTGTTCTTTGATTTGCAGACATATGTGAATTTGGAAGTTTATGATGACAAGGACTATGTTAATTTTGACGTGGTGACGTAGAACGATTGACGAAGGATCGTGACTATATGGAGAAGACACGTCATTTGACTGCAGGAATATAGTGTTGACAAGTTTCACTTTATTCAAAAAGTTTAAGACCTCCCATCAAATCGATTGCTAAGGAANGAATTTTTGGAGAAGACACGTCATTTGACTGAAGAAATATAGTGTTGACAAGTTTCATTTTATTCAAAAAGTTTAATAACACCCATCAAATCGATTGCTAAGGAAACCGTGTATAGCTTTTCCACTACAGATTGTTTGCAAAATTCTCATCCGATCTGGCATGATAAACATTTGCTACTTCCTGGACAGAAGGCTCGATATATTGCATAATGCCTTAGCGGCACCCTTTCCGAGTGGGGATAACGCTATCCAACGGGTAAATTACTGGAGAAAGGTTGACGACACAAACTTTGCTATCCCAGCACTAAATACATAGTGATTTATCCAGTGGACAGCATTATCCAAACTTTGACCAACCAGCTATTTCAAGTGCTGTGAAAGTTAGAATATCCCGGAGACTCGTGGCTAATTTACGTGTTTATGATATAAAAAAGAATGCTATACTTAGTACATAACAAAACATCGAATAGAAGACGTCGTTTGCGCGAGTGTCACACGAAGTACGTTAGGCAGATCATGTAATAATAGTGGCTCTCGCCCGCCGGAGCCCCATATACCTTAGAAAATTTGGTGACCCATCGAACCGAGAAGTTTTGGTTGTCACATGCTTGCTGGTACAACGTCTGTACGTGCGCCACTTGCTCTGCGCGCGCGCGAGTTTTTGAAGGTCCTTTATATTACCTCTTTTGGCCTAAAAAGGGAAAAAAAGAAGCTCCAGACAGTGTTTAAGAGGTACCGATGAGGAACATCAGAGGTTAGAGAGACATAAAAACCTTGCCTAGTGAAGATCAACTCGAGAATGTTCGCTTTTTTCGTATGGTTACTAAAATTACAAAACGGTAACACTGTGGGAAATTGGTTTATTCGTTGATCGATCGAAAGATTGGCTCATTACAGTCTTCACAACGTTGGCGTTTGTCGAAAGTTTCTTCCCCGGGCGATTCACGCAGACTGAGGCGAATTGCGGTGAGCGACTTTTTGTTGTAAAAACTGCCGTCATGTTTTCTAAAACTGGTCACGTTTGCTTACGACTCTCACCAGCTGCGTGAAAAGCACTTATCTACTTATTTTAAAATCCCTTCTAAATGCATTTCTTTGCATATTTTTTATGGAGAGTTCTTCATTTTGTTTCTTCAATTCCTTCGGTATGGTGAAATGCTTACTGGTAAATTTCTGGTAATTTGATAATCATATAGGACAGATAAAGCTATGACTGCAATGCTGTCGGCAAAAATTAATATTCAAATTACGCTTTAGCGTGAATAATTAACTTGAACACCGCACGTCTTTGAAATTTTGCATGTTTTCCTGCTTCCAAATTCATTTCTTGGCTTTATCTTGAATAATGATCAATATTAAACGAATTTTCCTTAAAATTCTTTTATTCGGCGATTTTTTGTTGAGAAATTAATGCTTTTTAAAGGAGAAGGTCAATCCAAAATCGTATATTTTTTTGTCAACACTAATAAAAATCTTGCACCAACTTTAGCAACTCACCGAAGCTTCAGCCTCTAAAGTGCAGGTTTTTCTTACGAAATTCGTCTCCAAAAAAAGCCCAAAATTCGAACATCGTTGCCGCCATTTTGAACAGTACTAAGCAGCTAGGCCGCGTTTTCGTGACATCAATCCGTCCAAGAGATTTTGTCCAAATTGCTTCGAATGAACCTTTTAACTACCACGCTGGGTTATGACTGTTCTTGAGCCATATCATTTTGAGCCAAACATGCTCCAAACTCCGAAATGGTAGCATTTTAGATAGCGAAGTGGATAATCGCTGGGGAAGAAATAGATTTTGCTGACCTTGTGAAGGATGTCAAGTCAGTTGCAGGTTTTTCTCCTTCCCTCCAATTTCGAGTCGGATGGAATGAGGTTACATAAACACGGTCTGGCTGCCAGGCAACTTTAAAATGGAGGCTCTGAAGTCGCTTCTTTCGATACGAAATTCTTCGGGATAGCGGGCACTTCAGAGGCTGAAACTTAGGTCAGTGGAAAAGCTGAATGTTTACTTGCTATAGGAGGAGACAAAAGAAGTAGGCTTTTTGGAGTGACCTTCTCCTTTAAAAAAGCGAACAACAGTTGCTAAAAGAGACTTGCATGGAGTGATTTGCGTATATTGTTTGTGGAGATTTCCTTGTTTTGCTTGTTCAATTCATTCGG